AACTGATCAGTCAAAATATTAATCACTGGACAATTTATGAAATAATTCTATCTCAACAGCAATAAAAGCACTATATATCAAAACTTGTATGATGCAGCTAAAGTGTGCTGAGAGGAAAATGAATAGTTTAAAATGCATTTGATAGAAAAGACAAAAAGAAAATTAGGTTATACAAATGTGGTAAAAATATAAACAGAAGCAACAAAATGATAGACAAAATCTTTGAAGTTTAGAAGGAGGAAGAAAATGAAGAAGGAATACACAAGGGATGGAAATATTCTCTTTTTAAAGCTGAATGATGGATATAAGGTGTTTGTACTGTTATTTACTCCCTTCATTTATGTTGTAGATATTATTTTGTGTGTATGCACTAGTTAATAGCAACAATAAAAATTAACAAACTACATATTCAACTTAGTAAGTTAGAAAAATAGCTTCAGGGAAAATATAAAAAGTAGATGAGTAAGAGCAGAAATAAATGAAATATGAAAGAAACAAAATATGGAGTCAACAAAACAAATGCCAGAGAATCTCTTGCAGTACTGACTCTATAAAAGAGAGGAAAAAAATACAAATAAATAATAAGATGAAAACAGCACAAGCTTTTATAAATGATACAATTATATGAACAATTTGACGGTATTAAGTTTGCAAATTTAGAAAAAAGGTTAACTTTCTAGAAAAAATATAAATGATTAAAATTGACTCAAGAACAAATGTTTAAATAACATGGATAGAATTGTTATACTACATAAATTGATTTAGTAGTCATAAAACCACCCTAAAAAATCAAAAACAAAAACAAAAAAACGTGCAAGACGGTTTTAGAGGCAAGTTTTGTCAGTCTTTCAAGGTTAGCAACACTTACTTTATGCATATCACCCCAGAGAAGTGGAAAAGGAAAGCTTCCCTACTTATTTTATAAAATTCGTTTATTCTTGATGCCACAATTGTTCAAAGACATGGTAAACCATAGGCCATTTTACTAATGAATACAGGTGCAAAAATCTTACATAATTAGCAAACATATGAGAAAATTGAGGCCAAGAAAATTTCAGTAACTTGCGTAAGTTCCCTCAGCTAGTAAATGGTGGGCTTGGACCAACATGCTTCTCAAGCCAAGGACCATGACTTCCTTCTCTTGAAGAAGGAAAGAAGCAGCCCCAATAGCAATACTACTTGTAAACAAGAGATAACCTGTATATTTGGTGTCATTGGTGATGACTCCCCTGTCAGTACTCCCTGCAATCTGCCCCTCAGTTGCAAAGGTGACAGGGAGGCACTGGGCTTAGCAGGTACTCTGGATACTTCATCCTAAGCCCCTGTTCCACTGCCCTGACTGCCACTGCTGTGCCTGGCAAGACATTTCTTTAATTCTCCCTCATTGTGAGATAAGTATTACATTAATTTAACGATGAGATAAACAAGTCTCAGGGAGACAAAGCATATTGATAAGAAATGAGTTCTCAAAGGCAATAGGAGGTGGAGCTGAGATTCAAATTCAGGCCACATCACTTCAATACTTGTTCACGTGGTATGAAAGGATTCCTGTTCCTGAGCGGGAGTCCGGAATCCCTGGGTGAACTGAGCCTGCAACTTCCAGACTGAACCCCAGGCACCAGAGAGGTGTTCTGACCTGCTTCCTCCTTCCATGTTTTTTTCTAGGTTATGCTAGGAATAGGACCCAGCTCTGATATCCTGTTTATCCCCACACCTAGTTCTTGCCAGTCCCTTTTCTTTGGCCTGAATCCTGTTATTGGAAGAAGGACCTCTATCCTCCTAGACAAATCAACCCTTTATGAGAACTGACACTCCCTATAAGCCTGTCCTTAGGCCAGCCTCCTAAACATGGACACCAACCCAGATAGAACAAACAGTGTTCTAGAATCTCTTTTAGCCTTGGTGATCTGGATTCCTCCCTCTACCTGAGTTTCTCATAACCATCATCTAAGCCTGTCTTAGTCTAAATACCCCTGCCTACTAAAAGCTTCCATTATGAACTATAGCAACAGTGGGTACAGAACATAGTATCTCAGCTCCTCTCTCACTATAAGCATCATGACAGCAGGGATTTTTAAATGAGTTGTTCTCTGCCTTATTTCCAAAATCTGAAACACTGCCTGAAACACAGAAGACAGTCAATTAATATTTGTGGAAATAGTGAATGGATTTACTGTGACTGTGCTACTCTTGGCTCTAAACCTAGGAAACTACCACTGAGAAAGCAAGCACAAAGCTGAGCAGTGCAGTGCCAGGCGGATTATTGCTGTGGTATATGGATACTAGACTGTTATCCTGTCTGGTGTTATTAAACCAGATGGGAATATTTCAAAGCTGTAGTACTTAAGGGCTGATTAGACGGAGATTCCCAATCAGTCCCAGTAGCTCCTTGTGGTGACTGGGAATTGGTGATGGACGGGGCGCCTGGCAATACTTTGCTCACTGCCAACAGTGTGTCAGTGGAGGTGGTGCTGGCTGACCCACTGTCATCTTGCATCAGACTTTATAGCCCTTTCCTTCCTTGGAAGGAAGCTTTTTACCGCACATCTCTTTAATTCAAATAGAAGGGCTACCATTTTCCACATGGCCAAGCCTTTTTTCTTCATGTAAAGGCAAATATTTCATGCTTCACATTGAGGGTGCCTGGGACTCACGAACTGGGAAGTGGAAAGTATTTGCTCCAGCATTTATGTTAGTTGCCCATGTAATGACTTAATGTGACAGCTTGTCAAGAGTGGCATTTAATATGCCTGTTGTACAGAAGTCATATTTCATTTGCTTTTTGAGACATGAGCCCCAGGAATACGGGCTCTATGAGTTTTAGAGGGAGCTGATGATGGACTCTGTTCATCCACTCAACACCCACACAGAAATATCTTCTACATAGGTCTTCTGAAACTAAAGAAGCAAAATGATATGTTTAAGTAAAGGAACAATAGATCAATAGCTAATTTAACTATGAAGTGAGGGTGTGGTCTCTGTCAGAGCCTCAGAAAATGTAGTAGCATTCCTCTCATTTCTGTCGCTTTCCTCTTCACTTTTCATAGGAATGAGTATTTGTGCGTTAAACCAAATAGCAAATTTTAAAATATAAGAAAGGAACAGTCTAGGAGTCTATCAATAAAAACCTTCCATCTTGATTATTTCCTCAAAAGCAAAAGACTGGATACTTTGAGATTCAGCAAGCAATATGAAGCTTTCTCATATACCAGAGAATGTTTACTTTCTCTCGTAACCAAACTATAGTGAAAATATTACATGGCATCATAAACCCAGTAGATAAGAAGAAGCCCCTGGGAAAGCAGCCATATTTTAAAAATCCTACGGCACAATCAAAAATGTTCTGAACTTGCTGTAGCACCCAGATATCCAAAGGGACATGTACTATTGCTGATGTAGTACTTAAGGGCTGACTGGGTTGGGGAGGGCAGCTTGCTGATAGACACCTAGGAAAGGTTGGCTTTGGGTGGAAAATGACAATGACAGGAAGAAGAGAATGAAAAATATAAATAATGGTGTTTAAATGGCAAGTGTATAGAAATTTAAAACAAGTAATAATAGTGGCCACATTTTTATTCTCTAAGAATGACAAAGTCTCTAAAAATGGGGGAGGTAGAGTACCTAGTTGCAATAAAGGAGGGCACAGATAAATTGTATTGGATAAAAGCCCCAGCAGAGGGACTTTCCTGGTGGTCCAGTGGTAAAGAATCTGCCTTGCAATGAAGGGGACATGGGTTCGATTCCTGCTCAGGGAACTAAGACCCCACATGCTGCAGGGCAACTAAGCCCGTGTGCCACAACTAGAGAAGAGAAAATCCGAACACCACAACTAGAGAGAAGCCCATGCACCACAACGAAAGATCCTGCGTGCCTCAACGAAGATCCCAAGTGCCGCAACTAAGACCCGACGCAGCCATAAAAATTAATTAATTATTTTTTTTTAAAACAGCCCCAGCAGAGTGGCTGTGCAGGATGCAGTTACCATGGCACAACACCCACTGCTCATTGGAATCACCTGGAAGTTTAAACAAACCAAAACAAAACAAAAAAACCTCATCTATCCAGACTATATGTGAAGCCAATTAAATCAGAATCATGGGAGTGAGACTTCAGACATAAGTATGTTTTAAAGCTCCCCCAGGTGATTCTAATGAACAAAATTCAAGAATCCCTGACCCTACTTGTACCTTTTAATCATGCTGGTTCTTTCATTCAACAAGAATTGACAAAGCTTCTATCTTACGTCAGACAGTGTACTAAGCAATAGGGATGAAAATATTTAACAAGAACAACTAACAGGATATAGTGCTACCTTCATGGAGTCTAAAAGGAAAGCCTTATGCAAGATAATCAAACTGTAGTAACAAAAATAGTAAGAATACCAGCTTGTATTTATTGTTTACTGTACCCTAGGCCGTGTAAGCGGGTTAAATATTCATCCACTCCCTTAATCTTCTGTATTATTATCACCTCACTATACACATGAAAGAACTCAGGCTCAGAGAAGTTACATAACTTATCAGACATAACAATGCTAATTTAGTGGCACAGATGGGACTCACCCCAAGCAGCCTTCACTCTTAACCATGCTACACCATACTATACTATGGAGGTCATGATTAAATGCTAGAAAAGCCCAGTGGAAGAAACTAATAATTGAGCCAGAAGGGGAGGAGGGTGTTTGGGAAAGCCTCCAAAAGGAAGCAAAACGTGAACTATGTAAAAACTTAGCAGGATTTTTTAGGTGGACAGTGACAAAGTGTGTTAGGATGAAATGGCATTTGTAAAGATGGGAAGGTGCATGCGTATTTGAGCAGCACAGGATAATTTGTACGATCGTGCAGCTGAGGACCTGAGAAACTTTGTTTAGGGTCAGACTTTCCCCACGTTCCCAATGATTCCTAGAACTCTGGAATGAACACAACAAACAAGCAGCCCAGGCAGAATGCTTTTCCCCAGACCACGATCAATGCATAGTTAGTAACTGACTCTGCACCTACCAATTCCTCATTATTTAGAGATGTCCTAATCACCATAGCCAGGGAGAGTCCAGATTTCCGGGCAGCCAGGGTCTTAAAATAGAACCAAAAAAACACAGAATTATGAGGTGACTGCTATGTACCTATTACTCAGCAGAAGGTGAAAGTGTAAAAGTACAGACTATCGCTATTGACACTTTAGTCAATAGGGACCTACCATTTTCAGTAGTCAGCCAGTTCATCCAGAATGTGGAATCATAGGACATTAGAGCTGAAAAAGTCCCTTTAGATCATCAAACCTAGGCTCTACATTTTACAGATGATAAAACTGAGGCCCAGCAAGGCAGGCCTGAAGCCCAAGTTTTCTAGGCTAGCAAGAGGCTTCTAAGACATTGTTTTTCCCCAAGACAATCATAATCACATTCCTTCATAAAACATAACCATTGATACAGAGCCAGCTGATCTGTCTGATAGCCCTGAATCACGACTGGTACTAGATGATTCTTGAGTTGTCCATAGTTCCCTGAAATATGCTTCCACATCTGGCCAGAATATTTTCTTCCAAGGGTCCATTTTGCCAACTGAGAATCATCATTAGACTTGTTTTCTTCACTCAATGTTGGTAACTTAGGTGATTTTAAATAAGAGTCACATCCCTTTAGTTTCCCCTGTAAAATAGAACCATTATGCTGCTCCCACCTGAAACATACACAATATAATATACCCGATAGTGCTATAGAGAACTCTGGAAATCAGGAGTGCTATGTGGGAATATTAAATCTTCTCTCCCATTAAGAACAAAGGGAAGTCACAGTGGAATAAGAGATCTGGTCAGAAATATATCTCCTTGGAGCTACAAAGCCAGTGTGCCCAGTTAGGTTGAGTACAGTCCTAGGTGAGCAGGTGACTCACTCCTCACTTGTAAACTCCTACCATCTCCACTCCTACCACGTAAACTTATACAGGACTTACCTCCAAAGATGATCTTCCATCTCAGACAACTACTGTCCCTAAAGTTATGTTTTTATTTTATTTTAGCCTGCATCTGTACCTGTTGTTTATGTAAATTGGTCTGTCTTTCAGAATTGAACTAGATGTTAAACCTTGGAGAACCCAAACTTCTTATTCGAATATGTCTCTTTTTATTTCCCCATCTTGCTCTCTTTGATCCCATGAATAAGAGCAGTGTACATTTGAAAAGACTGCCAAGTATTAATTAAATAAAATGAAAGTCACTTACCATGGCCTGAAGTGTCCAAGTGACAGAGAAAACAAAATATAAATAATTAGACATATGACAGGTGAGAAAAGAGTGTAATAATGTTAAATAAGCCTAACACTTAAAAATAATGTCACACTATAATGGCAGGAATCTGAGCTAATTGTACAGACATATCATGCTTTCCAGCGAAAGATTTTTCCAGGCAAGATTTTGTCTTTCCTAATTTAAAACTAAAGTGATGACCTTCAGATGAAGGTTTTCATAGCAAAATTGAAAATGACTGGTATCAAGAAATTGTGCACGTTGTTGCTAAAAGGAAAACTTCAGTTTCTCTGAGGGAAAATATATTTTAATATAATAAACTATTAAGAATGAGCCTCCAGCAAAACATGAAAACATTGTGAATGATAGAAAACATTTCTTTTTCATGTTGATGGGCTATTTGTTTTTAGAATTTAATACAGACTATTATCAATTCTTTGCATCTCTAAGCAGTCCCCAGCCTATTTCCTATAGGAGAGTTTGTCATTCAGAGTTATGTTCAGGGCTAATAAAGGTTTTAATGACTTGGAAGCCATGGTTTTCTCTGGAGAGTGGAACAGCTTATTAATTTGGCTAGACTTGATCTTAATATATGAGAATAAGGAAGTGATTAATATTATCTGCATGCTTCATAAAGCAGTTTACTGGGTTAAGATGAAGACTGTCAAATATAGCCTTCAACTGCAAAGTAAACTTGTGGTCACCAAAGCCCAGGTGCAGCAGCCCACTTTGCATGCTGTGTGATTTCTTTCTGCTCAATTATAGGGCCATTTTAACTCAATTTGTAATTTCAACTAATATTAAAAGCTGTCAAAAGGTTAGAGTTATTTCCTCCATCTAAGAGATTTTAAAGAAATAATAAATATAACACTTGCTAGCATCCAGCTTCTGCTGTGTGTCATTCTATGAAATATTTACAGGCTAGGCATTTAATGAGAAGGACAGTATGACATCTAATAAAGATAAAGACAACGTATGCAGTCAAAATGAATTAAACAGGAGTGACTCACCACATCTCGTACAATAGGCAGAGTTTTTTTCCTTCGGAGATCTGGCATACTATCAATACCATAAAGTCCCCAACCGGCTCTGAAAGAGGGCACAAAGGAATGATTTTAATGGTTAACTGACTCTTTATAAGAAAAATTCCACTCTTTGTAGTAAAAAGGCTGTGAAAAAAGGTTAAAGGATTATCATGCTGGTTCAGACAGCAGCAAAGATCCAAGACTCAAGGACCATTATTGAGGTACCAAAAAGGACACTACCACACATAGTGATCTCTTGCCTTCTTAGATAGTTCCATACTTTGAAACTTTACAGATGGCCTGATTTGACACATTGTTTTACTGTACCACAGAGAGGACAACTGAAACTGTTAGGTATATGGAACTTTGCACCTCCAGGAAAAACAGAACCAAACCAGTTTTGCTGAAAGTTTGGTCTGTCTGCAATGGTAAAAAAAAAAAAATTACTTTTATTGTAAAGATACTATGTTTTGTGTATATTGCATCTTCACAGATTGAACTCCAAAGTGGCATCTCAAGGATTCAGAGACACATCTAAAATATTAGTGATTATTCCAATACCAGAATTTCCACTTATCTGAAGTATCTAAAGATAAATGCACAAGATTATAATAATTTGTTATACAAGAATGTTCACTGCAACTTTTTTTTTGTAGTAACAACAAAAGCTAGGTCACCTAAATATTCAACAACAGTATACCGACTGAATGAATTACAGTATATTATACAATGGGAAGGGTGCAATCGTTAAAGTGAATAAGGTAAATATATATGTGTATATATGAAAAAATACTTATAGTATGTTCAGAAAGCAAGTTTGCATATTGTTTCGTATGGTCCCACATTTGTATGTGCATTTATATATACACAGAACATTTCTAGAAATATATTCACCGAATTGGTAAACCATAGTTACCTCTGTTGAGTGAGAGAAACTGGGTGATAGAAAAAGAGAAGCCTCTCCCTATGTTATAAATCTGTTAATGTCCAATGTTTTTATAATAAGCATGTGCCGTCTTTGCAATTTAAACTAATTTTAAAATATATTAACATTAATACTTATTAAAGTAAGTTTAATAGATTGAATTGGGGATTTTTTTTTGCGGTACGCGGGCTTCTCACTGTTGTGGCCTCTCCCGTTGCGGAGCACAGGCTCCGGACGCACAGGCTCAGCGGCCATGGCTCACGGGCCCAGCCGCTCCGCGGCATGTGGGATCCTCCCGGACCGGAGCACGAACCTGTGTCCCCTGCACCGGCAGGCAGACTCTCAACCACTGCGTCACCAGGAAAGCCCTGAATTTGATTCTTTATTGCATTAAAGCTAGTCTTTTTATACAACCAAAAAGGGGCTAACGTCATTCATGACAGCTACTCCTTCCGCTCACTTGAACTGCAAAACCCCTGCTAACCTCTAGCTGAGAGTCAGCTTTTGCACCAGAAACACCACAATTCATACTGTTGGGTTTAGGTGGGCAGCTCTGCCACTGGAATAGGCTACAACAGCCAAAAATAGGTTATCAGCATTTTACTGTCCAGTTTTCACTGACACAGAGATTGTTTCTTCATTTCTGCTGCTTAATTTAACCAAGGGAAACCTCTGTCTCATTGGATCTCTCTTAGTAGCCACAGTCTTAATTCAAATACTTCCAGTTGTACCTATTTGGTGACCTTGGACAAATTACAAAGATGCATCATATAACTCATACAAAATATGAAAAGCAAAATATTAATAAAGATAAGGTGGTAATAAATAGTAATACTGCCATAAACTACATGTCTGAAAATGAGGACCAAATGCAGTAATAAATGTGAAATATTAAAACCACTGCACACGGGTAAGAAAGATGTCAGTGACGAACAGAATATACTTAAGGTCGCACACCTGAACTAAAAGTTACCTGTAGATCATAGAATACAGGACAAGAGTAATTGTGGGACAGAGATCAAGGAAGAGGAAAGAAAGAAGAGGGGGAAGGAATAAAAGATGGGAGGGGAGACAGTGTGTGGTAGGGGGAGATGACACTTAAGTAGTCTACCACTGAACCTGTGAAAAAGGAGTTAATACAGCTTCCATCGTTTTCTAGAATAATGCCAATGGACACTCTGTAGGTTAAGGGCTGTGATAGTCACGGTGACAGTCAGAGATGAAGAACTGCAAACACAAAAGAAGCATTGGCAGCATCTCCCTATGAACTGCAAGAAACTGCATAGTATAGGAGGAGGAAAGGGCAGTGAGTATTTTGTTTTCTTTGCAACACTCACCTTCAGAAAGACTACTGCTCTCTCAGTGTGACATCTTGCTTCCCTCCTATCCTATTTCCATATTCTTGCCTTCTCCCTGCCTTGACCCTCCCACATCCCAAACATCAAATATATGGGAAAAAGATTATGTGAGCGGGTTCCTAAAAGGATTTTTCCAGTTTCATTTGCTCCAGTCTAAGGCTCTGATTCCAAGCAGTTTCTACTTTCTCTCCTCTGTGAACAGGATAATAATGGCATAAAATGTACCTCAATAAATGTCTTTCCACCACATTACATAGCAACCATACTAACTGCCTCCAAGTGTTTTGAAGTTACTTTAATAACTTTGTAAAGAAACACATTCAATTGTGATAATGGTTGAGAAAATTATTTATAAACTGCCAAGTGTTATATAAATGAGTTATGTGTTTTCTTCCTATCAATAACAAATTATTTTTTTCTTTATGTTTTCCTTCTTGTGGAACTTAACTTCCCAAGCCAGCCTAGAATTTTGAGCAACCTCATATTTTCACAAATTCAGGAATCAATTACACATATATATGTTCCTGAACCTCACACTTCACCCTTATGCTTCTCTCATCAGAACAGAGATATCCAAGAACTCAGGCCAAACTTGAACCTAAGTTAGAAGACATGGATCCAAAATTCATCTCTGTCCCCTCTGAGTTTGTCATTTACTTTCATTAAACCTTTATTTTTAAATTGCAATGCAATAAAAATGTTCTCTTAACCTTCACAGATAGTCCCCAAAATGTTCTTTATCAGGTTGTGTTTCCTTATAATTTTACATTTTCATCATTACTATAAGAAGTTTGTATAAATGTATACTTTAATGAGCTTATCCATCAAGTAATAATAAAACTTTTATTTCAAACATGAATCTTAAACAATAAATAAACCTGCCCTAATAGCCTCACCTCATGAATAGAGAAGTGCTTGGTGAATACTGTGAAGCTCTACACAAATATCTTTGTAATATTTACTGAGAGACTTCCTAACCAGGAGAGATCTGGGAGCGATTAGATAACAAAAAAATGGTGAAGCCTAGAAAGAACAGTAGGTAAGTAAATTATTGCCTTATAGGCAAGAGGTCAAGTTCATGGATATCCGTTAAAGAAATGAGCCAGGCTTGATGATCTGGAGGTCACAGGGAGTCATCAACACAGGCAACAGCAGACAAGTAATTCTGAAGGGAAGTCTAATTCTAGGGAAGAAGCTGTTTGATTTCAACCCTTTCTGGTATAGCTGATTGGATTAAGCCATCTTTAACTGTAGAAAGCAAACTAGCTAATTCTAGCTGATATTTATGTGGCGCTTACCAGGAGCCAGAGAGAATGCTATCCATCATAGCCAGTCTTTACAAGCATTACCTCATTTTATTCTCAAAAAATCCAACAAGGTATAACTACAATTATGTCTCTCACTTTATAAGTGAGGAAATGGAAGCATAGAATAGTTCAGAATCATTCCCAAAGGTCATTATCGAAGTCAGAGTTAGCACTGCCAGGATTTGTCTTACCACACTCTACTGCTTATATGATTACATTATTCCACATTTACAACAATAATATGAGTTGAGGTTTCTCATTAATCCCATTTTACCTTTAATAAACCATAAACTGAACAATTTCCCCAGGCCTAGAAATATCTGGCAGAGCTTGATTTCTATTGCAGGAGTGTCGTGTCTCAAACCTCATGTTCTTAATAACTATTTTTTTTTTTTGGTAGGAGGAAATCACAGGCCTGTCCTAGTAAAGGTGCTGCTAGTATTTGAATTTTAAAAATGTATTCTAAGGGTATTATCTTCGAATCAGAAACACTGTATTACTGTATAAGATAGTCCCAATCCTTCCCAAGTGGTTCCTCTCCAGCTATTCAAGTGTTCTCCCAAGGAAAAAGGAGACCTTTAGACTACAGGAGTTACAAATGAGATAAAAGTATCAGGAGATCTACAGAAATATCTGGAACGTCAATGATCACATATAATTGTCAATGGATATAATTTTACAGGCTAAACTGGGATGTGTTCTAATCCAACATTTGTTGTATTAAAAAGTCTTCATATTTTTCATGGTTTTATTCCTTAGTTCTTTGCATAATTATACTAAAAGAAGTTTATTGAGTTTAATAACATCTGAGTATAAAAGTATAAGGCTATATACCTTGACTTGGATTATCTTGTTACAGAAAAAAACACATATTGTCTAAAAAATATATACAGTATTCTGTAATTTTTAAGAAATCTGATACACAGGTAGAAGAGGTAAAGCTGATTTTTACTAAGTACATAGTAATTATTTTTAATCCAAAATTGATCTGATAACATACGGAGTCTCTACGGATTGAAAAAGAACTCTGAGAAGGCACAGGGAGAGTACTGCATGAAAACAATTAAGCAGGTTTCCCGAAAGTAGTACTTTCTGATTATGGGACAAAGATGTGCTACTTCCGCATGTGGATGCTTGATGCTTAATTGGTAATATTCAGAGACTTGCTGATTTCCATTAGAAATCAGAAAATTGGTAGACTCTGTTTATATCCAAAGGAGTTGTTAAATTAATTGAAGACTACAGGCCTGAAAAAACAAATTATAGTGCTTCTGTTTATTTCTATGTTTCCAAGGCATTTATTGGGCAGGGTTATATAATTAATCTTTTTTTAGCATTATGGAATATTAAGGCAATGTAAAGGTTAACAATAAATCATATTAACTCCCTCTCCTCTAATACAGCTGTGCTCTCAGCCTTTTAAAAACAACTCTTTGTATTTATTTCATTACTTAATGGTGATAAACATA